AATTATTAATTAGTATAGAGTTGACCGTCTGTTCAGTGCATCAAATAGAATAATGGGTGCTACAGGAGTACCACTCGTGCTTGGATATCATGGTGATGAACAACATATTGATTTTATGAAGTCAGAAGCAGACAAAATTGGATATCCTATTTTAATCAAGCCAACTCATGGAGGTGGAGGAAAGGTGTGCCTTTATTGAGTTTTGTATAATGATTATTATAATTCTTGGAATATTAAGATTCTGAGCTTGTTGATGATTACAACTATGGTCGATGTAATGCCTTGTGTATTTTATTGTTGTGCACCTTTTGTTTTTATGAGCTGTGTTTTCCATTTCTTATTTGTTCCTAGCTTTTAAATTTTCTGTAGCTAAAATGACAAGAGAGACATGATGGAATTGGAATACTAAGATGTAATAAAATTTGGCACTATATGCAACATTCCAGTCAGAATTGGTAGGTGTGCAAGTGTTTGGATGGTTAGAGTCTACTTCAGAGCACTTCTTATATAGCTGCTTTCAGGCTTAAATTTCCCTGCTATGCACAATTTTGAATCTTACCATGTGAGTTGTGACACCAAGTTCATCATTTAACATTTACCTTAAGGCATTTCTGTTTACTTATTCTTAGTTGGAGACCCACTATCACTGATCATCAATACAATGACATGATCATGGATGGGGGTTGGAACCATAATTTATCTAGGGTTTATTTTCTGCCACTTTCAGGGAATGAGAATTGTTCAAGGTCCTAATGATTTTGTTGATTCATTCTTGGGAGCACAACGTGAGGCTGCTGCATCTTTTGGCATATACACAATTTTGCTGAAAAAATATATTACAAAACCAAGTCACATAGAAGTCCAGGTATACTTATTTGGTTTCGTCAACCTTTTTATGGTATTGACTATCTATTTATCCATCACGATCGATTTAATATAAGCCCCCGTTTGAGCCCATTTTTTTGTGAAAAATATATTTTGTAATAGTCATTTTATAGAGAATGTATGGTTAAAAATTAATGAAAAGTTCTGAGTTTATATGTAAAATTATTTTATTGGAGAATGTGTGGTTAAAAATGAGATTGGAGAAAAATAGATTTTTGAAAAATGGGTCTCAAACAGGAGCTAAATATAATTCATAAATTTCTTCTACTTCATGCTCCCAAAATTCACCTACAAACAAGATCATAATTAAAGCAATTCGGAACATGTGATTCTGAACTTGTGTTTATCTGAGCTATAATTTGTAGATCTTTGGGGACAAACTCGGTAATGTAATACATCTTAATGAGAGAGATTCCAGTGTCCGGAGAAGATATCAAAAAATAATTGAAGAAGCTCCCTCTGTAATTCTCTTTTTATTTTGGTTTTTCTTTGCTTCCTTTTACCTAAACTGTGATTCTCCATTACTGATTGCTATAAAATTCTGACAGAAATTCTACACTTGCAACCAAACATCAACATGACTTTTGATCCCACTTGGGTCAAACAGTTGTATCTGCAGCCAAGGTGGTGTGCATAGAAACTTGATTGTTTTGTTTGTTGGGTGATTGTATTTCATATGCCAAAAATTTTTGAATTAATTTGAGCAGTTAGATTGTATTCAGTTAGAATAATGATAAAGAAACGTAGTTTGCATCCATTGACTGCCAGTTTTTACATAAAGATTATTCTTGGATTGTATGCATTCATCAGATTACTTATACTCGATTTACGGCGTGCTTTTATTTTCCATGGTGGTGTACAAGTCATGCAAAATGTGATGAAATCATAACAGTGGAATGGGCATGATGAAATTTTTTGTGCAGATAAATTTTTTTTCGTTTTGAGTACTTCTCAAGGTTCTAAGTAATTCTCCCATAGAAGAAGCTATGGGACAATTAAGGTGAACATAAATGGTTATAATCTAGATGTATACGCTAGCAATGCTTCCTAATTGTATTTTGCATCTCTTGTATCCTTTTTTTTCTTGCATCTAGCATTTGATGCTCAATTGAGAAGGTGGGTTAGATTCAATTTTGAACAAGTGAAGGTTGAGGACGTAGGATATACAAGCTGCTGAAACATATCCCGCATATAGTCATTTATTTTAACTAAGTGGAAAGGGCTACTATATAGCTAAATAATAAATGACAAGACTGAACCCTTCGAACTTGAACAAATAATTGAAATCATTATATGTACTTAAAAGGTTTAAATGTTTAGTCCTTTATCATAATTCAACCCATGCATTTTGCCAATCTAAACCACAGCACATATCTGCTATCAATCCTGAACGATCGAAACACTAATATTGCCTCAAAAAGAACACAGCCCGTGCATTGCACGGGCATTTGACTAGTATTAAAAAAGAATCTTAAAATTATAAAGAAACTATGTCATCGACTTAAGCTTCATATTTGAAAGACGTTATTCACAATAAAATTGAATTCATATTATAAAATCATATATGGAAATTAGTAGACCTTACACCCAGCAATAAGTCACTGGAAGTAAATGGATTTTCAAAAGAAAAATAAAAGCAGATGGATCAATTGACAAATATAAAACAAAAGTTTTCGCTAAAGTCTACAAGCAAAAGAAATGTCGATCTTGATTATTTTTATACATTTCACATGTTACAAGAATTATTTTCATTCATATGCTTATTGCTGAGTGCCTTTAAGCACCGTAGAAGAGAGCAAATTTGTTTTAAAGGTACATCGTGAAGTTGGTGGCTCAAATTAAAATGATGTTCGCGATTAGTTCCAGTTTTGATCATGTTGATCACATTGTTTCGATTGCATACTTGCTCAATCATGATCCGATTATTTAGAAGTGTATGTATCTTCAAATTGTTAAAAGGAAAATCGATATTCCAATAATAAGAGTAATTTTGGGACACTAATGTATTCATTACATTGTTCTAAGAAATAATGCTTAACAAACCTTAAACAGCTACTTTGGACAAGCACAATTCTTCACTAATTTAGAGTGTGTTTGGTAGGGATTTTTGGGGGAAAAATTGATTTTTGAATAGTAATATGATGGAAAATGTGTGGTTGAAAAAGAAGAAAAAAGTATTGATGTGATGGAAAATATTATTTTATTGAAGAATGTGTGGTTGAAAATGAGAATTGATTTACTGTAGAAAATGAGAATCTGTACCAAACATGNGATCTTGGTGAATTAATGAGGGAAAAATTATTGATGTGATGGAAAATATTATTTTATTGAAAAATGTGTGGTTGAAAATGAGAATTGATTTACTGTAGAAAATCAAAATCCATACCAAACAGGCTCTTATTGACATAGTCGCAAGTAACACAGCATTGCATTAATAGTAATGTCACAACCAGAATTAATATTTACTATCAAGTTCGAGATATCCGACTAAAGAAACAGGGCAAAATCTCCTTTCCAAATGCTTTTAAGGATTTTCGGAAAATAGTTTATAGGATTATATCAAGCCTAAAATGAAAAACACCAAATTAAGCGCAAGTGTTTTTTCAAAGTGAACTTAATGAAAACTTCAAATAGTTTGAATATGATTTTGATGATTTGGAATAACGAAGTATGGATTTATTGTTCTTGATTGTGTTTAGAAATGAAAATCAATCTCCTATTTATATATTTTCATTCATACACTACGAAATGGTTCCAACAATTCATCAAAAGTTGAAATTCATTTACCACAAAGCACCAGAACTAAACCTGAAACCAATCTTAACTGCTAATTTTCAGAACTATGCAATCGCACGGCTATAAACATTTTGCCTCAATTTCTGTAGGAGTCGCATGGGCAAAAACCCAAAATGTCCAATTTTGTGTATTTACCAATTCATCACACATTTGGCCCAATTGCAGGCCCAATATTAAATCCACCTTATAATATGATTATGAACAACAGATTATAACAGTTGCCCCTCTATATGTTTCAAACCTAGGGTCGGTCCCGAAAATTTTGAAGTCCTAAGCGACCAGTTATTATGAGGCCTTTGAACATTACTTTTTATCGACGTAGTAATACTTACATATATTGAAAATGAGAATACGTTATTCATCATTGCACACAACTCTGGTATTAACATGGATACAAAGGGTGTTACTTTTCCGGAAAAAAAATCAATCAATAAGAACAAAAAGAAGTCCCAATCCCTCACTGAATACATCCCCTAAATCCCATATCCAAGAAAAAAATTGTTATAAGTACCTAAATTAAACTTCAAATAACCCCAATTAAATTATAGATAACAATGTAACAAAATTATGGAGAATGTCTAATGATTCTGAGCATGAGGAGATGTACAAAACCAAGGTCCGACCAATCTAATTTGGGAAAATCTTTTGAATCCACAAACAATTGCTGATCTGAGTCATTCTCTACTGAATGAACAACAGAGGAAAATACAATCTTTAAAAAAAACACAAGACGAGAGAGAAAGCTAATACTATATAATAGCAAAGTAAAAAATTTCTTCCGCTTCTTCCGTGAACACAATGACTTTGATTGCAATTCTACCTATTACTGTTTATTTCCAAGAATTCAAAACCCCCAACCACGATGACGGCGATCCCTTCCTTTGGTTGCACGAACCGAAGCATATTCGTGTGCCCCGCTTTCATATGTCAAAATGAACCTTTAATTAGATGGAGTAACAAACGAGATAATATTATTTTGGTAGTTTCAGTGACAACTTAAAAATATTCAAAGTTCAATTACAATTGGAAAAATTATATGGTAACTGGAATATTTAAGCACCATGTGTAAAATTTCGTAAGTCATGTCATCGTGTTTGTTAACTTTTAAAACAGCAAATGATGGATGTGATAAAATTTTGAAAAATTTAATGACGACTCGAAAATATTTTAAAGTTCAATGACAACTGAGAAATATTTGAGAAAGTTCATTGACAACAAAAATATTCAACCTTCAACTATGCACGGAGCGGTTTTTGAGTCTGATACGCTCAAAATGAGTACCAAC